ATTTTAATTTAAAAATTAGGTTTTCTGGTCAGGTGCAGTGGCTCACACCTATAATCCCAGGTGGGCAGATAACTTGGTGTCAGGAGTTCAAGACCAGCCTAGCCAACATGGGGAAACCCCGTCTCTACTAAAAGTACAAAAATTAGCCAGGCGTGGTGGCATGCACCTGTGGTCCCAGCTACTTGGGAGGCTGAAACAGAAGAACTGCCTGAGCCCGGGAGGCGGAGGCTGCAGTAAGCTGAGATCACGCCAATGCACTCCAGTCTGGTAACAGAGTGAGACTCTTGTCTTAAAAATAAAAATAAAACAAAGTAATAGCTTAGCTTGAAAAATGCTGCAATCCCAGCACTTTGGGAGGCTGAGACGGGTGGATCATCTGAAGTCTGGAGTTCCAACACCAGCCTGGTCAACATGGTGAAATCCTGTCTCTACTAAAAACACAAAAATTAGCTGGGTGTGCTGGTGCACACTGTAATCTCAGCTACTCAGGAGGCTGAGGTGAGAGAATCACTTAAGCCTGGGGAACAGAGGTTGCACTGAGCTGAGATTGTGCCAATGGACTCTGGCCTGGGCAATAAAGCAAGACTCTCTCAAAAAAATAAAAAACAAAAATAAGGTACATTTCCTTAACAATAATAACAGGCACATACGAGGTACTCAAGATATACTTGCTGACTGGCTTCTCTTCTTGCTCTCTTAAATTTCTACTATTTTAAGAATAGCTTGATGTTTAAATGAAGAGCGTGAAAATTAAAGTTCTGTTAATAACAGAAGAGATCTAGGAAATAAGAAATGTCATATTTTGCTAAAAGAAATGTCAGTTAAAAAATTAAGTTTGGCCAGGCACGGTGGCTCACGCCTGTAATCCCAGCACCTTGGGAGGCTGAGGCAGGTGGAACACAATGTTAGAAGTTCAAGACCAGCCTGGCCAACATAGTGAAACCCCATCTCTACTAAAGATATAAAAAATTAGCCACATGTGGTGGTGGGCACCTGTAATCCCAGCTACTCAGGAGATTGAGGCAGGAGAATTGCTTGAACCTGGGAGGAGGAAATGGCAGTCAGCCAAGATCACACCACTGCACTCCAGCCTGGGCAACATGATGAGATTCCATCTCAAAAAAAAAAAAAAAAAAAAAAAAAAAAAAAAATTAAAAATTATGTTTAAAAAACTCTTGCCATTTTTGAGGCACTGGAAATATCTTCTAACATGAATGGAATGGTGATTGTTACAGAGTGTACATATATTGAAAAATCCATTGAATTGTACACTTAAGAACTGTGTATTTCACAATATAATGTTTTGGAAACTGTCAATTTAAAATAATCCAATTGCTTTTAGTTGAATTTTAATGCCAAATATAACATCTTTATAATACTGCACATCAAGATCCAGAATGAATATTTAGTATTTATTATACAGTGTTAGGAGTTCTGAGTAATTTAGAATACAATAAGTAATAACCAATACCATTTATTGCATACTTATTCCAAGCCAGCTCCATTAAAGGAAAAGACAAATTCAAACTTTGAATGCATGAATTAGATTTCACACAAGCCAGTAATATGCCAATTCAAAGTAATCTCCAGTGTATATAGCAATAATCAGAGGTTAGAAGGGTGGATCTAAGGTGAAGATAGCATAGCACATGTCCCCAGGAAAAGGCATAATGTTTTATAAAATAATTAAACAAAGAGGCAAATAATAAAAGACTTTTTACTGAGGAACAGACTAGACAAGGGAACTGTTTTGAGTGCAAGGATCCTACCAATTTCATGCCCTTCTGCCATCTGCAAGAAGTGGCAGAGGATACCTGTTCTTACTGCACTATCTAATCTTGGTGCAGCCATGGCTGCATGACCTGCCTAACCTTTGCCCCACCTGGGAGCATCAGGGGAAATACTTATCTCTGACCAGAAGACCTTCAGAGGAGATCCAGTGTTAGCATTTTAGCAATTTAGTAAGTTTAATTAGGTAAATTTAAAAAGGAGGCCAGAGGGCCTGTTTAGAACAGCAGAAGGCTTCCGTGAACTATCAAGAACCATAGAAATAGTAATAATCATTTTTAGAACAATTACTCAAAAATACAGTCCCTCAGTGTTGTGGTTCTGAAAAGACTGTTAAAGTGTGTCACGTTTACACCATTGCCCACAGGCAAACTTTATTTTACACAGATAGTGAGCTGCAGAAAAGCTCTCCAAATATTTTATCCTCTTCATTTCCTCTTAGAATACTTTATACATACAAGTACTATACCATAAATTACCAACCACAATAAATGTAATGAATACTCATAAACAAACCTCCAGACTCAAAAATGAAAATACAAACCAAACCAGAGATCTACCAATGTTTTTGTAGGTATTTCTGATACGACCCCCATTCTTCCTAGCTGGGAGCTACTGGCTATAGAAGGAAGTTTAAACCTGTCAACATGAGATACCCACAGGGCTGGGAAAGCACGTTCATCTTAATGGTTGCTGGAATGCTGTGTTTGGAGGCCTCATGTGGGTCAACAGAACAATGCCCCAGGTGGAGCAGAAGTGGTGGCGTGTGTGCCCAACACCTGCCAACTCCTTCACCTCATCTTCTTTCCAAAAAACTGCTCAACTCCAGTCACCATGAAATGTTGATGTCCTGACGGTTCAGACTTTCTGTATCCTGTTATGCCTGGGATGTGTTCTCTATCTTTTTTTCTTGAATGATTACACATCCTCTAAGTTCCAGAAAGCCTTCCTTGACCTCCTTAAGAAGAGATGGCTGTGCCATCTCTGTTATCTTCTAGCACCTCTATCATAAAAATTATCCACTTTCAATTACTCGTTTATTAGTATATCCCACTACACTGGGAGCCCGTGCCTCTGAAAGGTAGGGACAACACTTAACTTTATATTCCCAATGCAACCAGCAGGTACTTAAATGCTTTTTGAAAGTATAGATAAGGCCGGGCTCGGTGGCTCACGCCTGTAATCCCAGCACTTTGGGAGGCTGAGGCGGGTGGATCACGACGTCAAGAGATCGAGACCATCGTGGTCAACATGGTGAAACCCCAACTCTACTAAAAATACAAAAAATTAGCTGGGCATGGTGGCACGTGCCTGTAATCCCAGCTACTCAGGAGGCTGAGGCAGGAGAATCTCTTGAACCC